TCTTTCTTTGTGTGTTAATTATTTCTTCCAGTTCTTCAGGTTGGTAGGTGTCATAATATAACTTTTCTTTTTCATCATCAACCTTCATATTATCTTTTTGATATTTCTTGACTTCAACGAAGGTAGGGTCATTATGAACCGACGGGCTAAAAATGAATATACGGGCGAAGCAGTCCCTATAAACATTTAGGATAAGGTTTTGAATTAAAACTGTTTTGCCACCCGTTGATGAAGCAACAACAATTGAGCGAAAAGGTAGTTTTGGTACATGTTCATATTTAGATTGTTTGAAATCGTAATCAGTTATATTTATTGGTTTTATTATTGGAACATCAGACATAATAAAATAATATTAAAGTTATTTAGAAAATATTTTATATTTATTATTTTATATGAATAGAAGTTATTCGGATTATATTGATATAATAGATAAAGTAGAAAATATAGAACAAGTAATAATAACCGATAATAAAATTAAGAAATGTTGTTATTATTCATTAGAATTAATTAAGTTAGGAATACAATATATTAAAAATATAAATATTAATATAGATGGGAAGAAAGAAAAAGAATAAGTCCGAGCCAGTTGTTTCTTCGACTGATGAAGAAAAAGAAGAAATTGTTAAAGAAACATCAGTTATTGAGTTTGCTTGTCCAATGTGTAAAAAGATGTTAGAAATGAAAAATGAATTAGAAATTCAAAAGAAAGGAAATTGTAAATGTTCGTGTATTCCGACAAGTTTCAAACTAAGTAAAAACGATAAACGAATAAATATCGATAAAACCAAAGACAGTATCAATTTAGAAACAGATGTTCATAATATTGCTATCAAATGGGGAAGGCATGCATCACCATCCGATAATGGTGATAAGGAAACACAGGAAACTGTTAAACAAATAATGAAAAATTAGTATTTAAAGAGTAGATTTAACATAATTGCAACATTTAGTTTTAAAAGTTTAGTTTTATAATTTAGTATATATTTTACATGGCTGAAGGATTAGATAAGATTGTTAAACAACTAAAAAAGGTTTTAGAACAGAATAATAATATTTTGGAAATCTTACAAGAAATGGAAAAGAAGAAACCACTAACAAACAGTTATCAAAGTCAGGAAGTAGATAGAACCAGAGCTGAATATAAAAATAAAAGAAATATTTATTTAAACAAACTTAATAACAAAGAAATTAAAGAACCGAAGGCTTCAACTATGACATTTTATCAAATTGACTATGATGAAGATACAGGGGTTTATTCATAATATATAAACACTTAATGTTTAATCATTAACTAACAAAATTTCGTGTCTCAAAAGCGGTTTGTTTATTTCTGCTACTTTGTAAGTTTTATTACCCATAATATCATATTCAATTTTATCGATATTGAATATTTTATTAGACCATTTAGAGTTATACTCCTTTCTGTCGGTGTAATTACCCCTTTTCTTTTGAAACACTTTTACCTTGTCGTTCTCCACTATTCTGGGATACTTTCTTTTGTTTTTTTCTCGTAGTTTAAGATTGACCTTTACATTTATTTCATTGTCGTCCTTGTGTGCTTCAGACGGTGTCATCCTTGTTGATGAGTGAGATGTGCTGTTATACTGTTTCAATGCCGGCGTTAGGGCGTCGGTCCATTTCATGTTGTTAAACCTAACTCTATCGTGAATTTTGTTTTTCATCGTTCTAATAAAACGCTCGGCCACATTTGCGTGGGTCTTCGTAACGATGTGGTTTATTCCTTCACTGTTGAAGAAATCCTGAACGTGATTTTTAGTTGCAAACGCTCCGTCGTCATCAGAATACACGGACATCGGATAACCCATCTTTTTAAAGCTTGCTCTCAACGCCTTCAAAACGTGCTCTCCGTCTCTTTCCTCCATCGGTATTACATCTGCTAATTTACTGAAGATGTCAATCACGACTAAAGCATACTGTGGAACGTTCTTGTCTTTTGCTAAAGGAGACATATGCATTATGTCTATTTGATATTCATATCGTGCGAATGGAGCGGTATAGGAATTAGTTCCTCTATAATTTTTGATTTGTTTATTTGGCTGTTTCTTTAAGAAAGACTTTACATCGTCTAATGTTATTGTTGGGTCTTCTTCCTTTGCCTTCTTGTGTGTCGCTTGTGTGCTTCCGAAACCCTCGTCTAAGTCGTAATAGATGTTGCTGATTATTTGGTCTTTTGTTAATCTCGCCATTATATTAAATTGTTAGAAAATATTTTTTCAATAAAAACCCCGCCCCTTAACATAAAATAAAAAACTACTTAAAGAAATATTAACTTATTATATTAAGTGAAAATATGACTGAAAATGTCGGAGTGATTGCTGACTTATCAAACTGGGTGCTATCAGACGAAGAAGATGATGATAATGACAGTTATAAAAAGGAATTAGATGACGAGTTAAACAAAATAAAGGATTTCGTCAAAAGACACCCTTTGCCATCAGTTGATGAAAACGAAGAATTCTGGAAAGATGTTATTAACAGGTTTAGGGATAATAGCGGATTAAACTTGATGACAATATACTCATTTGTTAGGTTTGACATCATGAAAGAAATGTATGAAAACCTAACAGATGAAGTCATCATAAAAGACTGTGGTAAAAAGTTAAACCGAGATGGACAGTTTAATGCTATGATTATTAATCACTATATCTTATCGGGAGCGATACGGAAACTAAACACAGAAGACAGTCTAGTAGATGGTCAGATGCGAATTATTGAATTCTGGTGGGATGGAATAGGTGGATGGAAAGCGTGAGTGATTTAGTTTAATGATATTATTCAATTATAATATGATTAAACCTAGTTTTTTTTAATCTAACAATGAGGTTAAGACATTTAAATTAAACCTGAAACCCAGACCAGCCGACCAGCAACCCCTAGCCAAAACTACTTAAAGAGAAAAAGCCTTATATATTAAGAGAAAATGAGTAAGGGTAAAATGTCAGAGAATAATTTTATGGTTGAGAATTGCGCTAGCTTACCTGAAGGCTTAGTTTCAATCATCACTACTTACATTAATGGTAGTGAAGGGTGGCGAAGACTAAAACAGTGTAAAGCATTAAGGGTCTTACAAAGGAAATGGAAACCGTCTATTTACACTGAACGAGTAGGAGAAAGTAGATATTATGTTGAGATTCGCAATAAATGCTTAAAAGGTGATAAAGCGCTTTCATATGCGTTGAAACCACCAAAAGAATTATTAAGAATGATGAAGTATGATGAAGAAATACAGGTTGGAATAGTAGTTAGTTCAAAAATTATGTATAATAATAATATTTGCAACAGTCGTTCTTATTCATCATCTAAACAGAATAAGATTTCAAGTAGAGCGTCATTACAATACCATATTGAACAAGCAGTTGAAGAAACCAAACAGACTATGAAACGACACGAAATCATTACTATCGAACATGTTGCAATTGAAATTTATAGAAAACAGAAACAATGATTTCATGGCTTAATCATAATATTTAATTATAATATGATTAAACAGTGTAAACTTTTATAACCTTTCATTATACTGTAATTTCAACCTATAAAACATAACTAGACAATCACATAAAAATCACATAAAAAGAAGTTGTTAAGATATATTAAGAAATGGTTGTGAAGCAAACTATAATGAATAATTATGGAATGACAGAAGAAAAAGCAACAGAAGACTATGGTGAATTCTTCAAATGCAACAGATGTCTTTATGATAAAACAATTGATGAATTTGGAAATGTAAAAAGTGGAAGAAGATATAAATATTGTCAAGAGTGTAGAACAAAAATAAATAATTGTAGAGATAAACGTCAAAGAAACAAACGACCCACCAACACCCCAGAACTTGATAACTACTAAAAGGGCTACCTCTTTCAAATGAAAAAAATGTTTGCCCCTAGCCCAACAATGAACAAGGGGGGCAATTACCCAAATGATTACCTTAACGAAAACGATAAATAAGCTCCCTAAAAACCCTCTTTTCAAAACGAATAAGGGGGAACATAGATTTGAGATGAACATAAAAACCAGAACAGGCAACCATCAACAGACCACCCCCCAGGCCCCCTACTTTCTCCATTTTTTTGGGGAGGGGGGGGATGGGGGGCGGATGGGGGGAGGGGGAGGGAAATTCAGGGGCAACCCTTTTCCGTAGAAAATTGGGGTAGGGAAATAAAAGGTTGCTCATCTTTTGGATTGAATCAACCCTGTTTTGTCCGTTCCTTTTTTTCCACAGTACCATCCCCTGTTCTCCCTTTGATCTGTTCCTTGTGGGTAGTTTTGATGATATTTCCGAAGCTGCCGACTGCGAAGGTGTAGGAGGCCCTTTCCATGGCCCTTCGCATGGCAATCCCTCTACAGAACCACCCGGGCCAATCAAAAATGAAGGCTCTCCAACCCTAAAAACGGCAAGGCGCCAAACATCATGTACCTATTGGCCGTGCTTCTTGCACCATCCGAGGACTTCTTGCACGTGCCCCCAGGATTGCACGATGAGTTGGCTGAATGCATTGTGCTTGAGATGGCGCTTCGCTTGGGTTCTGTACATGGGCACTGCGGATCCACTTTGTTTTTTGCACAGTGTTCACAAGGCAGCCAGCCAAAACCTGGGCACGGGGGACAAATTGCGTTGAATGTCAAGAAAGCACGGGGCACGAAAACTGCGAACGCCTCTTCCATGGGTTGGTTCAACCTCAATGTGTCTTGGATGCCTGTCCTGGATTTCTTCTCTGCAATTCTTCAGGATGGCTTCCTCTGCGCCAGTCCAGGGCCCTGTTGCTGGGGATTACGTATTGGAAGACATCTGAAGCAATACCCCCCAACTCTCACTTTCGACTTATCGCCAACAAAGCCAGTCTAAAACTTGCTGGTGCCGAGCAACAAATGAGTTGGAATCACCCCTTCCAATCATCCCCTATGGTGTCCTCTAAGGGAATCCCCCGGTTCCTTCCCTCCTTCCCTGCCTATCGCACCCTTCAACGGCCCCTCAGGCCCAGGCTGCATGGGCGGCAGCGAGCACAGGGAGAAGTCCGGCGAGCACACGCCCGGGAAGTCCTCCCTCGCCTGACACGCCGCAGCCGGTGCCGCGGTCCGCGTCGGGGCCCCCGGTTGTTTTTCTTCTTCGAAAAAACGAGTGGCATCTCATGGCTTTAACTACAACACCTAGCTCCTCCCCAGTGCCTGACACGGGGTTCAGGCTGGCACTTGCATTTGTGAGGTTAAAGAGTTTAAATTCGACTCAACCAAAGCTGGCTGAAACCAAATGCCTCACCCCGACTATTTTCAGGCCTGTGGAAGCGGATGCTTGCCTTCTTTAGCTTGAACTGGTAGCTGTTGCCGGAATCTTCCAACGCACCTATCAGAAATCATCGGTCTGAAACACTGGACCCAACTGCGTTACCCTTTAGCTCACCGGCGCAGCCGAAATGCCACAATCTCATAGTCGACCGCTTCGGCCACCAATGTCCACTAATGTCAAGCTCATTTATTTGTTCGTGCCTGAAAGCATTGAAATTTGACCCATTACTAAACAGAATCTCTGACTAAACCCCTGGTTGTTTGATAGAGTGCTCCATTCAAAAGGGCATCCTTCACTTTTGGTGGGGTAACACATCTCCGAGTCTCCCGATCAATCCACCAGGTTTATTGACCCAGGACCAACACTGACCCAGTTGACCAGTCCCTGGAATCAAAAACGGAATCCTGTTTGGGGTCGGCACGTATTTTAGCTGGGACCCCACCAAGCAAAAGAGGACAGGGGTGCCACGAAACAACTGAGCAACGCCCAGCTGCCATCGAATGTACCAAGCTTCTGACATATATTTACATAGCCCTTAGTGTGGATGGACGCAATCCACCGTTCAGAAACCCAACGGAATGATATAATTCATTCCAACGTAAATACCGACAAACTATATGGTTTCCGAACCGTGGTGCCTAAGAGGAGTTCGCAACCATCCGCAGCAGGTACCTTGTTTTTCTGTGGCCTATTTTAGCAGGGGGAACCCTCCCCCCCCAAAAAAAAAAGGTAAAAGGGCACTACTGGGGGACCTAGTATATTTACATAGCCCATACTACCCCCACGAATCCGGGCAGTACCAAACTGGTTCGATCAAGTGCCGCCTCGCCCTCGATGACCTTCGCCAGGCGCTTCTGGAAGCCCCGGCAGTTCCACCGCACTGCGCGGCAGTAGACCTGTCAGCTCGCGTAGCCCGTAGATCCAGAAGAAGTTGGTGGCACATGGAGTTGAGGTACATACTATGCGCATATCCATCTACTCACCCCACCCCTCTGCAAAAACCATTTCTACGAGACACCACACCAGAATCTATCCTTCCTCGCCAAAGCATGAGCGAGTCGGACTGAATCTCGTTTCAAGGCAAGCTTAACCGCACGTTTTAAACATCCCGAAGCACTTCCACATATTTTGCCCGCCGAAAAACCGTATCGCAGGTGAGTCCCGGGCATTCTCTGCCAACTGGGTGTTCCCGTCAATGCCTCAGCGCGGCAGTCGGCAGTCGGGAGCACGAGGCACTCGGCGCGTCCTGTTAGTCCAAACTTCTGACTCCGTCAAAATGGAGATGGCCCAAACGGTGGCAAATCCCGTCAATTCGCTGAAGGCATTGGAAGGAAACTCTTGTGCCGTCCCAGCATGTAATTTTGGTCAAACAAAGGCTTGTGCTAACACAGAGCGAGCAAACATGCTGGTTGCAAAGGACACGTATCTTGAGACATACGGTGGGACCCACAGTATGGTGTCCTGTCAAGGTTCCATCCAGAAACCCAAGTCCCCATGAGACGCAAGGCCCCCCGCGAAGTGCGTTCTCACAAATCGCCTCACGGAGGTCCTCGTAAGTCGTAAACGTGTGCCATCGGTAGGCAGTGTGAGCTGAACTTGGAGTGACTTGGCAGGTAGGAAACAAGAATTGTCCCGCAATTGGCATTGGCCTGTGGCTGGTCTACTTGCAGTGGAATCTACTACCAATCAGAGTGACACCAGAAATGTAAGACACCGAAGTCATGCAACAACTCACGCCCCATGTATGCATAAGTGTAGCCTCTCCCTGCTACTGTAAACGTCAGGTGCACAATGCTTAGTTTCAAGAAAGTTGATTCAGGACATGAACCAGGCCATGTGCAACTGAGAACAACCGGTTCTTTGTTGATTGGATGAGGCTTGCTTTGGCATGAGCACCCATGTGGGTGTTAGCATCTCCTGACAGCATAGAGATCTCCATTTTGTCAGTGGTACATTGGAAGCATCAAAAGCAACAGTAAAAGCTCGAACCTCAAGCCACTCAAAGACCGTGATATGTGCAGTAACATTCTTTCATAGGCTCTTGGTCTCGGAACGTTCGCAACTCCGATTTTTGTTACGCCTCTGCGCTTTGTTCCCCCCCCCCCCCCCCGCTCCTGCACATGGTCTCGTGTCACCGCTTTCTCGGCCACCATCCTGTCCGGGGTCCATGGGGTCATATGTTGTTGCTTTTGGTGCCCTGCTTAAGTCCACCGGAGAGGCAACTTGCCGGGAATATGGTAGCTTAAGCTCTTACTGTACTTGCAAGTGGTTGTGCAGGATTAAGAAAATATTTGAGGAACAAAAGAATATCGTACCACCCCCAGATCAAGAAGCAATTGTTCTGGGATAAAACAATATCTCGTTTAGGGGCTCAAATCGATGCAATTTGTATGTTTAGGCTAGAACGTTGCGACTCCAGCTCCAAAAAGCACTTTTCAGTACAAGCGCAGTGCAATTCGAAAATCGAAATTTTTGAGTACAAGCGCAGTACTATCAGCATAACTAGCATCAGTTAAATGCCTGCAGCATCGGTTTTACACCCCCGCATCGCCAAAGAGCAATTGGTTTAGGCTTTTGCTTGGGCTGGGCCAGGGTTTAGGGTTGTTTGTTCAAGGTAGGTCTACACATATTTTAGGGTGACCCGAAGATCCGGACCCGGAGACCAATGGACCAGGAGACCAGGAGACCACGTGACCAGGAGAGCAAGGGACCGGGAGACCAAGAGACTGGGAGACACGAAGACCAGGAGAGCAGGAGATCGAGAACCAGAAATCATTTGTCTTTGATCCCTGAATAACATTTGTTGATCCCGTAAATATATGTTTGTTGATGCTCATTCCCCCGAAGGGGGTGGGGGTTCAAGTTTGATCTGTTTACAAACATTCCGATAAGGAACATGTGAGAGAATGACAGGCGGAAAATGCTGAATCTATACACGTGAGCGGGAAGGCTACCTTTGACAAGGGCACAGTTTGGTTTGAGGAACTTGCATTGCCACTGTGCGATACAGTGCACGGTCAACCTCAGGATGGTGAACCATGTGCGTACGTTGCGCATGTCCGATGTGTTGGCCGTAGGTGTGGCTGTGGGTTGTCAAATCTTCAAACGGTGAACATGTTGTGTACTTTCAACAGCTGACCTCGCTCTGTGTGCTTTCGTGTGGCCGACTATAATCAAACTCGGCGTTTGTTTGCGTTGTGCACTTCTCTGGCACAACACTTTGCATAATTGTGTGTTGTCGGCCGCAAAAAAGACACGTCACTTACATGTTGGAAGCTTCTGAGGCTCAGCTTTGCTGGCTCTGGTCGGAGCTGGACCCAGCAAATGGCTTCCTGTGCGTTCCTTGGGTCAGATTCCAAGGAGCCCTTCCGACAATTATGAATTGTCCCCTCTTTCTCTTGGCCGTGTCCTCAATCATAGAAACTGGGAAAGAAAAACAAATTCGGGGCAGGTAGAGTCCCCATTCAACCTTCTCCCCACGAATCACAAGCTCATGCTTTATATGGAAGAGGTAACGAGAACATCTACAAGAAACTACAAGAAACTGTGATTCTTGCTAGGGCGCTTGGCTGTGTCATGTTGAATATTATTGTAGCTGGCTGTCGCGTGATAAGAATTCCAATTGGACACATGTCAACCCCCCCCAGCTTCTCACCAGAATGTCGGCAGTCCTCTTCTACCCCCCACCCCCGCTCCGGCATCATCTGTCCGCAAACAGTGCGCCCACGCAAGGGCTATAGCAATCCTTCCCTTGGCGATTGAGTGGCGTGGATTTCGGCTCAGGAGAACTTGCAACTCACAGTCATGTGGGCATCCAATTCTCTTGAGATGGTCGTCGCCACACCTCACATTCTACCCTGCGGACATTGCCCTTGCACCGAGTTTCCACTGATGTTTCACCAGAACATTTCTGTTCTGTGCGCTGTCTACACATGTTGTACTACCCCCAGCTTTTCCAGAAACAGCCGAAGCTCTGTGTCTCCAGTCGCTCCCACCCCAGGCCTCTCCAAGCAGTCCGCAATGCCATTCTCTGAGCCAGCGCGCCTCAGAGTCCAACGTGCCTCGCTGAAGCCCAGAGTAGGACCCTTTCCAGTTGTGCTCTCTGCGTCTACATTTTACCCTCCCAACAAACATGGAAGTGCGCAGGCATCTTTTGGAAGGCTACGCTCCTTTTGGAAGGGGGTTCTTTGCACTTCCATGTTAGTGGGAGGAATGGCAACGACTGCTGCTTTCCAGCTATCCTTATACCCTACTGTTTAGGGATGTCTACCCCGACATATCGAACGAGCGCAGTGAACCACGAAAGATCCAGTCATCAACTATCAGAGTCGTTGGCAGATTTGCTGCTGGCGATGCTCTCGTGAAGCACATGTGTTTGCCTCCATGCATGTTAAAGACATTAACATGGTCTTGCGAGGGCGTTTGCGCGGTTCTCAAAACCCATCCATGTCCAAGTTTGGTCCTGGCTCGTCTGCAGCTAGGTCTCCTACGACTGCGAGAAACCTCGCGGCTGTTCCACTCACGTTCTGCTTTCGAGAATCATCCCTAATCCCCAATAGAAGCGGATACTTCATGTCTCTTCATGCTACTATACCAAACAACTTGCTGGTTCTCAGCAGGGACTGAGGGCATGACCCCCCAAAAAAAACATCCATTTCCTTTATTCGGGAATCCCCAAAACCAGGTCTCTTTCATTCCCTACCTCTCGCAGCAAAAGAATGGCTTCCCCCGTGTCCGAGGCTGCGGCACTGTCTGGATTTGCTGCTCCAGGCTCTGCAGCGACCTCCATCCGATTGTGGGCGGGGCAATCGAAGCGAAAACCACCCGTTGCATTGATTCTGGAAGGAAGCCGCAGGGAGACCATGTGGAGATGGACCTCGTTCTGACTGCCAGGAGGGTCTGGTGGGTCTCAAAACTAGGAACCCGTCATTTACAAAAAAGATGGGACACCTGTTGTATTGAGGGGCTGCCAATTTCCCCAAACGTAACCAGGTGTTCATCGCTGGACATGTGGCAAAAGAGGTAATTAATCCGTGCACCATGAACTGCATCCTGCTCAGGTCATGCTGACCCAGAAGAAACGCATCCGCTGGTCTTTCGGCCGTGTGCTTTGGTTTGTCCACATCGACGTGCCTAGGCATCGGCTTAGCCATTGCTGTCATGCCACTGGCTTGCGCTCGGGTCCAGCAGTGGCTGCCCTGGCTGATTCCTGCCTGCTTCTGTTGCACCCAAGTTTAGTGCACAAATATAAACCTGTTCCGAGAAGGCGCTGATCTTCTTCAAATCATTATTATTCGTCATTTACGCTGGGCATCGGCTTTTGGGACCCCAAATCTGTTCTGGGGGTTGCTGTCACAAGTTCTTCTAAAATGGCATCGCCCGGAACATGACTGACTTCTTTGGATGATTGGGTTCTGCTCAGGCCGCTAGCTAAATGAAAAGATGTAGCGCGGAGGCTGGTTGCTTCAAGAGCCCCTCCTCCATACGCGTGCGTGTGCATTCTGTGCCGACGAAACACGCATTCAGCTTGCCGCAAGAATCCATCCCTTGCAGCCTTACCCAACAAACCAGACACCCGACAATTTGAAGAAGGATGAGTCGCACCAGGGAGGACCCAAGCCCGCCCGCCCAAAAAAAACCACAAAAGAAGCCCCCGCTCTTCGTGCCGGAGCTGGGAGCCTCTCGAGCTGCGATGTGGACATTACCAGCTTCGCGGAGATCTCGTCCAGCCCTCCCTGGAGCACGTGGGATAGAGCCAAATGGATGCTATTGGGGTGTCTCGCAAAATAGGAGACGCCCTAACTAGTGCGCTACAAAAAGGATACCCTCCAAAAAAGGCCACGCCCAATTCTGCATTGCTATTTGAGCAAAGGTGCTTTGGCCGTGCATGTCCTGCTCATTTGTTCATCCTTAATATCCTGTGCGGTGCATCCCCTTGTGGCTCCAACTTAGGCAACCTTGCGTATGGCCAACAAGGTATGGTGTCCTGGAAACGGAGGAAAGGCCCTAGAGGACCATATCCTTTGTCACCTTGCACGTTTATGGAGGGGATATCCACTGTTTGATAGAGCAAATGATCAAACTGATCAAGCAGCTTTCTAGCGCTAACCCCTGAGAGTGTCCCTAATAGCTGAGCATAACAAGTTGCTTGCTCGACTCTGATACTGCAGTCTGACAGCAGTGGGAATGCTGGAGGTTTTTGAAAGGAAGCCCAAGCAAAGCCTCTGCAGGCTTTCAGGGCTTGACGACCATTCCGTATCAGCCGCAAACAGCCTTTGTGTGGCATGGGTGTAGGATGTCAAGCCCCCAGTCCTGCGCACGAACCAGAGTCAATACTCGTCAAGTCCCCAAATGGCATGGACCTTCAGTGATTGTACTCCTGAGCGGGTATGCCCGTGGGACCACTTGAAACCACCGTGAAATCTTATGCTTGCGCGAAGCCGGGGGGTATGCCCGTACCAGTTGAACCCGCGGCCACCCTGCCTGAAATTCACTGCCTTGGGTCGCCGCAGATGCGGAGGTCGACTCCCTTGTCACCTGACGTGCCAACGGGCCCACACGCCTGGTGACAGGCTTGGATACGGAACAACACTTCGGCTCTGCCCAAAAGAAATCGATGTGGAGCTCACATTAAAAGGGGAGAGCATATGCGATATGCATGCTGCATGGCAGAATCGCTAGAAAGAAAACAATGAGCATGTGTGTGTGAGTTCATTTGACATTCTATCTGTCGGTGAGGGGGGGTCATTCTCATGTCCGGAGCACGCGCCGGCAAGGTGCGAACCCTGTGCCTACACCTCGGTTGCACGATATGTGGCCAGCTGCTGCACGAAGGTCACGTCATTGAGTGAATCTATCCTGCCTCTATGAGCCTTTTTGAGGTGTACGCATCAGCACCCAAAAGCAATGGATGCAACATGCTGCATGGATTCGGATACTCAACACAGGGAGAGGCCACACGCTTGCTATCAGGTGGGCTTCCCTTCAGCTTTTCTTTTTTTTATGCTTGAGATGACATGATGTCCATGTTGCCCTGGAAGGTTAAAGAGAAACAACCCATGTGGATATTTTGCTGCCTTAACTTGTTCCACAAACCTATCCCAAATCGGTCCGACGCGTGGTGTCACCGCCAGTAAGGTCGTCGCCTCGATCTCCTTGTGCAGCTCCACCTTTTGCGTCTCCACGGCGGCATGGCAGGTCTGGAGCTCCTGAGAGGCAAAGTTGGCGCCGAGAATCACCGGGTTCTGACCGGGCAAAACCCCGAATCAAATAAGGCAAACCCGCCAGGTACATGACATTCCATACCCGTCCGTGTGCTGGTCCCAAAGCCCATGCAATAGAGCATGATACCCAAAAGTTACCTACTTGGGGTCAAGTACCAGGTACCACGTGCGCATGAAGCCTGCTCTATTCACTACGATGCGTGGACATGAACATCTCAACCACCACAGCTGACATCTAAGTTTCCAACCCACCCTCCAACCTCACCTCGTCAGCACCTCACAAGCTCACAACCTCACCTTGAGTTCTCCCAAAATCGCCACCTGAACAAGCTGTGAAGAAGGTCCCGTCAAGAGCCAAGGAATGAATATCCCGTAATATCCTTTCTGGTCTCCTGGGGTCCTTTGATTTTCAGGCACCAGGCAAGATGGAAGACGCCCTCTTTGGCCGCCTCTTTTGTGTTGGGCGGTCATGAGGACTATGGGCTCCCTTGCTACCAACTGGCTTTGCATAAGTGAAATTTGCACAGGGGGCCAATCCGTCCTTATTTGGTTTCGGCGTCAATGGCTGCATCATGACTTGCTTGATTGGAGGGCAGGGGGCCACAAGCCACTCCCTGGGCTGTTCCAAACAGGTTGGCGAATCCCAATCCATGATATTCAGAGCCCAATCCGACCAAGGGGAAGCATCTTGAGGATTTGAAACCTAGTCAGTATCATTTACAGATTCTCATGGAAACCCGGAGAAAAAAAGAAGGAAAAAAACCGCCGGTTTCTTCTGGCATCACCTTTTAAGGACCCGCAACCCGCCCGACGGCGCGGGGCTCCTGGTGCAGGCGCTCGCTTCTGTCCTGGGCTGCCTGGGCGGCCTGAGACAGCTCCTGGACGCTCGCCATGTGCTTCTCGTCCACCTGACAGGTGGATGGGGGGTGGGGGTCGGGGTGAGGAGGGTACCCAGCAACCCCATGCTTTTGGGGTCCAACCACTTCCTTTGGAGTCTGATTTTGCACTTGGCAAGCCGCAAAGACAAAGCGCATTGTCTTAGGGTTTGGGCTTGCAGTCTGGGGTTGTCCTCTAGCACGTCGATACACATGGATGTTATGTTTATAGTACTTTGCGATGGTGTGGGGTGATTCGTGTTACTCGGACAGTTTAAGACCTGGCCGGGCCAACAAAGTTGGGGCGGTGCAAATCCCCCCCGGGCACCACTGGAACTGCTCACGCCCTCCCGTGGAGACCACAACAAGTCCGGCTAGTACTTAGTACGTAGCTGAAGAGTGATTTGGACAAACACATCACACTCATGCACACACCTTATGCTCGGAAGTCCCAATGGACAGGGGAATGGAGCAGGGAGAGTTGGGCAAGTAGCATTGCTCATGTGGCACAGTAGTGGACACATACATTGCAGTGGCACAAGTTTACTCTCGCCAAGCGGGCACACATCACTTGTGCACATGCAAGAATAAAAGAAGTCTCACTGCTGCGCAGGCAAGCACGCAGTCAGCCAACAAGATTATGTTAGCATTTGCCTTTTTTGCGAGATTGCGGCTTGAAGATAGGCTATGAGTCCTAGCAAAAATAGTATTGACTGCAAATTCTAAGGCATTGTCTCTTTAGAGAGGGTATGAGTACCTCTCCCATGGGCATCTTTACCCCTTTGCCGTTTCTTGCTCATGCATGGAATCAGGTCTCGCAATAAGATGTAAACAATGTATATCCTGTCAGCTTCCATTTGGCAGCCAGCAATCCATATACATATATCCACATCTAGAATACATATACATTATATATATATATACAACCCCCCCCGGATGGATCTACATGTTTGCTCTTTGAAGGCTATTATGGAGGGGGAATGCAGTTGTGTCATTTGGAATGCCCCATGCGACTTGACCAAGGAAATCCTCTTCAAAATCTAGTTTGGAATAACATTTCCGATTATGTGCTTTTCTTTGAAAAGGAATTCATATTCAAATTAGCTTTCAACTTAGAAATTGTTCTATAATTATGTCCTTATTAGATTCCAGTTAATTCTAAATACAAAGTGCAGAAACAATATCCCGCGAAAGGACGACTTCTTCCAACATGTCAAAGTAAGAATCCCAGTTAACAATGTTCTTCAAAATGGAATTCCAGTTCAAAACATCTGTAAGTCTACAAATTATATTTGGTGTTGTTCACTTCTAATTTCTATTTAAGTTCTATTTAGAAAATTGAACAAATCATCATGGACAAAGACATCCTTTTGAACATAAATGGTGAAATAAAAATTCCACCCATTAAACACCTAAACAAAAAAACACCATGTAAACTATCTTTAAAACAGGACATTCTATTAGAATGTATGTACTTATTAACTTTTATTGAAACTATGCCCACAAATCAACCCGGTTGAACATCTAGGTTCAAATAAGAATTGTGACTACACATCTTGTTCGAAAAGGAAATCCTGTTTAACGTCTCTTTAAACTAGAAACTCTTCTAGGGTGTGGTCGTTATACAATTCCATGTCAATTCTGATGAAAATTGAGCAAACACAATCCTAGAAAAGAAAGTCCCCCTTTAGAGTAATCTTTCAAGTCTATTTTGAGACACGAATTCTGATTGTTGTTTGGATTTTTAATCCCTATCCAATACTTTGAATTCCAAGCAAAAAACACTAAGCAAGCAAACAACGGTGAGTTTATTTGAACAAAAAAAAAGAGCATGTGTCCAATGAAATTCAGTGAACAAACATCTACAAGAAAAAAGTCCGATTCCTATAAACGTGAGTCGATAAACCTCAAACCCTACACCCCAAACCTGTCCATTCTAAGCTGAGGAAGATGCAAAACAGCAGCTATGTTGGCAAGTCGAAAACAATGGAGCCAATAGCCCGTAAAGTTCTGATGACCTAGAAGTAAAGAAGCAAAAAAAAACATGGAGCCAATGACCCAAAGTATTTGTTTTAAAGAAGAAGTAAAAGTAAATGTCTGGAGCCAATGACCCAAACGTCAAAGTAAAAAAGTAAGAAAGTAAAAACAAATTAAAGTAAAAAAACAAGATGAACACCAAGTAAACGCAAAAAAAAAGTTAATCTAAACAAATAAAGGAAAAAAAAGAGTAAAACAGTGAAAAAGTAAGAATGCCAAAAAAAAAATAAACAGGTAAAGCAAATCAGCCCATGGAAGATGCTTTGACCATGGACTTTTACTTGTATACGTGTTTTGTTTTTTCCTTTTTTTCTGCTGGGTAATTGGCTCCAGAATTTTTCTTCTCTACGTTTCTACTTTTGGGTCATTGGCTCCAATTTTTTTACTACGCCACGCTTTCACTTTTGGGCCAATGGCTCCAACATGTTGTTTTGCATCTCACAAAACCTCAGCTTAGGAATAGGACAGAGGTAGATCCAAACCGACTTTCTCTGGAACGGCTGGGCCCATGGAAATGCGCCGATTTCTGCTGCAGCAGCCCCCCAAAGCCCCCAAAAAGGCACAAAACCATGCACATACCAGTGCATTCTGAAAGGAAGGTAGATCCATATGGGGGGGTACCATATATATATATATATCCATATACTGTGTATATATATACATATTACATGTTTTAGGGTGTTTTCACCGGGCGCTGGTTCCTCTTCTTTCCGCCAGCTTCCGGGGGCTTTGCGAAAGCCCCGCCTGGCGCAGCTCCGAGTGGTGGGTCTCCAAGCGCTCGGAGAACTCCGAGCGCAGCGCCTGGACCTCGCGTGAAACCGTTCGGGCGGTCGGCGGGAACGACTGAAACGCGTGGAGTGGAAAGAGATGGACTTGGGTAAATGCCAATTGGTATGACAGACTTGTCAATAGGTTTTGGTCAAGGTTTTTTTCCAAAGATTTGGAACTAATTTTGATAGGCTGGGACTTGGTCTTGGATGCGTTGAGTGGTCTTGAGTCATTGATTCCATTGGTTCTGGCGGTTTTAGGTGTAACCTGTGATTGCTTCTGCAACAGAGATTGGGGTTGGTTTTTTTTTGTTGTCGGGAGATAGGCTTGTTTGTGGTGAGAAGGACGTAAATTATGCGATTTATGCCTGTGGCCAATTCACTGAAGTGGTGGTGCTGTCACCGGCGCCAGCCTCGACCGTGCTACTCTCGCGGAGCTCCCCCAGCGACTCCGAGTGCTTCTCGGAGTGGGTCGTCAGCTCCTTGAGGTGTCCGGCTCCCAGCGATACAGCGAGAAGGCGGTTGGGTGGAAGCCCAAAAGAAACGAAAAGCCATGCAAAACAAGGAAGATGAAACGACCACTGGCATGGCTGTGGCTGCGTTGCCTTGTGTCTTAGGTGTGGGCACGACATGGCTGTCCCCCAAGCTGGTTGGGGACATGTGAGACTCAAACTGGCTTGGCCTTAGCCCTGCAATTCGACCAAGACGACAACCGTGGTAACCAAAAATCGGCATTGCAATATCACGGGTGTGGGGACATCCCTTTGCATGGTGTTTGCTCTTCAGCAAGCTGCAAAGACGCGGCCCTTCCAACTTTGAAGGGAAGGCGAACCGGATCTGGCAAACCCCACCCTTCACAGAGCAGTCCTCGAGAAAGCTCCTGTTTCAAGGCTTCCCCAAAACTTGGTCAGGAAGTTGAACAGAACTCTTCCATCATTGCCCCTTTTGGAGAAAGACGCAATTCGCAGTGTCAATATTTCCTCAACTCAAACCAAAAGCGCCCCCTCGTCCACTTCGCCAGCTTCCCCCGTCCCCACCGAAGCCCGCGGGTGTCCTGCCGCAGCTCATGCAGCTGCTGCGTGTGACGCTCTACGCTCTGGTCCAAGGCCTACCACGTTTCGATCCCTGGGATCTGACTACCCAGGGGCCAAGAAGTTCGGCAGCCCCCTCCGGAGCTTTCTTTTTTTCTCTGCTTTTGTTTGGGGGGGGGCAGAGATTAGGGCAGGGTGAAGTTGGTCGCAGGGGGCTGGATGGGCGTGAGTCGGGAATTGAGCAGGCTTGGATCGGGGATAAAAGGGTTCCCACTGGCAGTCTGCCACAGGGCTCCCTCTTTTGTGGAACTCTCCAAAGGAAATAACCCAAAAGCAGGGTCATCAACTCCCGCCGTGCTCCGGCGCCTGCTCCAGCGCTTTGAAGCGCGCAAGGAACTGCTCCTGCCGGCAGAAGGGACAAAACAGGCAGACCCAAGCTCGAACCCGGTGGGGTTTGCACGAAAAGGTCTGCCGTCTGCCATTTTGCGTGTTTGATATTGAGGCACTTGGCTTATTTCACTCCACAAAGCGAGACGGGGCGAGCACCCAAAGTGCTCCCCGTCCTTGAGCTGCGTGAGGTCCACGCTGTAGTTGTTGGTCACTGAGCCTTGGGTCTCCTGGATCTTCAAACTCAGCCGCTCCTGCCAGAAGCAAAATCTTGGCGGTTTGGGGTTGGGGGGGTGCCCGTCCCATTTGGTTTCAAGAGGAACACGCAGGCGTTCAAATCTTTCAAGCCACCAATTCAATCAGGCGTAAGGTTGCAAACTTCGAACGCTCCAAAGTTTGTCTGACGTCTGTGCGCACCTATGTGAGCACCGGCGTCTATCATGGCCAAAATCCTGTGAATTTGCATGATCAGCCGGAGTGCTTCAACTGCCAACACCAATGCTTTGTTTCCATACCCCCTCACCAATGCCATTTTGGAACTTTGTTCCAAGCTGGGTGGCAGGCTGAAACACACATACTGCTTTCTCTGGCGCTTGCCTGGTGGAAACCCATAAAGTGCAAACATAAACTGGACAAACGAGAAATCATGCATTCTGAACTGGCTACAAGCCCAAGAAATCTGCACGACCCAACGGCTTGTCCTCCAGCTCCTTGAGCTTCCCCTGAGACACTCTCATGGTCAACCCATGAACATCAGGGTTCTCAAAATTCGTGTTGGGGTGTGTGTGTCCCTCTAAACCACCATGGCAAGGATGTTGCTTTCGAAGATGTCGAGTTAAGAATGAAAGATAACCATGGTCACAAATGAAGAAACTGGGGTAAGTCCCCTCACAACCATGGTTGCACCTCACACACTATGTGGGTTGCATCCAAGCAGTTCGGCCAAGAACTCGCAGCTTCACCGAACCCTGGTCCGCCAAAAACCAGTGATAAAGAAACAGCGATCTGGGCATCTGCTGGTTTAAGCATATATCATATGCACTAGCAGGCTCTCTTGGTTTCCCTGCAAATTTTGACACTGTACGCCAGCCGTGATGCTCCACGTGATAGGCATGACACCATCAACTGTGACTGGCTCTGCACATCCCCGCCTCCACATCAACCTGCGGCTCCTTCTCCACAGGCTTCTTGGCGCAGCACAGCATCAGGGCACTCCGCCCGGGTTTTGCAATTCTTCAGTATGGCAACTGCCTCCAGGCTGTCTGTGACGCGGCTTCCAGGTTGCCCAGGTTTTTGTTGGTTCGACCTTGCTGTGCTTCTGTCAGAGCTGTGAAGCAAAAATCAGCCCTGGTGACACTGTGGCCGCGGAAAGTTTGGCCACTCTGTCTGCCACGATCTCAAACATCATTGCTTCCCAGCTATGTTGCTTGGGCCAAAGACCGATATGGAGCAAAGATGCAGACGTCAAGCCCAGCCCCCAAACAAAGAAGCGATGCCTACACTCTATGGGCTTGAGTACAAGAATTCGGGCTCACGACATGTTGGGCGGCCCAAAAATTGCGGAAATTGCGTGCCTTGGCACTACGCCATAACCCCAAGTGTGATGCAGTGGGTTTCCTGCAGTCGGTGGTTAGTCACGAGGATTTGTGTTGCACTATCAAATGGGAACAAAGGGCTTTGTCACGGTGCGAACGCAAGTCCGTTTTGACCAGGAGCCCACCCCCTTTATCCCCAAGTTGAGTTGCAGATGCCAAGATGGCGTGGCACTCCAGCACAAGCTGTTTTTGCCTCCGCGCCCTCTAAGCGAGCTGTTGGCTAGGCAATCAAGAGGGCAAATAGGCCAGGTTGGAATTCCTTGGCGGGCGGCCATTGAAAGCTTTCGACCAATAGCGAGGAAAACGACAAAACGATCAGGCAAGACAGTGGACAAACAAAACGACCATGTTTGTTGTCTCTTTCAAACTGCAACAAACCTGTTGCCCGCCATTGGCTTCTGCGTCACCCTTGCGTCACCCTTCAACAGCTGTCTTAACTCTTTGCGTTGCCGTGTGCTCTTGTATTGCAGGCTCATGGCCTTACCTCCAAGGAAACCAGACATCAACCAAACACCTGCAACTCACAAAGGCAACACAAAGAAACCTAGCAATGCCCCTCCCGTGGAAGTGTGGCAGCCTTGCTTGAGGGGTCCGTGATGGGTTAAAGGCAAACTGCGTGCGACCACCACAAGGGAAATAGGAGATAAAAGGGGCACAAAGACCACCAGTAAACTGCCGCAAAATCCAGTCCCCAGTCTCCTGAGTGTGATCTTTGGAGGCACCCTCGACACAAGTCGGTCCAAACGGAAAACACTTCTCCGACTTCCAAAGTTCCCCTAAAGAAAGCCAAGTCCAGAGGTTGTCCCAAGAAACCACATTGGTCTCGAAGTCCAAAGCTGGGGCCCCGGCGCCGCGCTGGGCGGCAGACTCTCCGGGTTCGCCTTCCACTCCGCGCGCTGGGCGGCGCGCTTTCCGTTGCTGAGGTACGTGGGTGCGGCCTCGGCCAGGTGCGCGGACTCCTCGCTGAGGTCCTGCGGACCGAGTCGGATTCTTTTTTAGTTGATCAGTTTCGGTAGGGGAGTGGTTTTGCTTTCTGTTCTTTGGGCTTTTCGCCGGTGTTGGGTAGAAAACTTTGAGCTCCAGGCAAATTTAAGTTCATATGTTTGATTGGAAGGTTGCCAATGTCGCACACCAGTTACTGTTGCACGGTATACCATGTCCAATGCTCCTGGTTTTCAACCGGCTTGGGAAAGCGCCACCACCTTTCATAGGCCATGCCAGTCAGGGTTGGGTCAATGGTTGAACATGTTGAAATACACAAGGGCTGGTTGCCAAAACCAGGCCTTGTGGGGTGGTGTCCTTGGTTGCCGAAATTCCAGGCTTTTCTCACCCCAAGGTAGATTCAAAACTTGCCGCCAAACCAGGAAACGAACCAAACCAACCAACCAACCAACCAACCAACCAACCAACAAACAAACAAACAAACAAACAACAAACAAACAACGAACAACAAGCATTCAAGCATACAGGCAAACAAGCAAGAAAAATGAATGAAGAAAAAGGAAGAAAGAAAGAAAGAAAGAAAGAAAGAAAG